AAAAAAAAGCCGAAACTCTTACTTTGTGAAGAACCATTCTCAATGGATTCTGCAGACTCTGGTTATTCCCGGTTCCAGCTTCTATCCAGCAATCGCCAAGGTGATGTTTACAGCTGGCTACCTCATTTGAGGCACTAACAAACGCCAGGAAGGTTGGCACAGTGTTTATTATTTTTAAAGTCACTAAGAATTTACGTGGCGTATTTCTCCGAAATTATCGTGTACAATTTTGCCAAATGGAGGTCCGTTGTAAAGCAGGTTGTAATAACCAGTCACTTTGCAAAAAAAAAGATTCGACACCTATCCCCAGAAAATCAAAACAGCCTCAGCCTCGGATTGTGTTCTACTCTAAACCCTCAAGGAAAGGTGGCACGGCGAGTTTAGCCCAGTGGCCTCACTGTGTTCCTAATTCAGAGGTAGGCATAGCTGTGGACCCTACAGTCAGAAATTAGCTTGAGGAATGATACACGTCCCAGCTCTGCGAAATCTCAAAGCTGTCAGTGACACTACGGGGATCGGCAAAAGCGAAGGATTAAAATCTAAAACAGGGTACTGTCTGAGGTGAGAGGGCGCGGGGTTTCTCATTAACTACAACGAATAGGGCTAACACTTGACTTCGTGAAGTGGGGGTCGGGAGGGGGGCGTTTGGAGATCGGTCTCCCAGCAAGGCCCGTGGCCCCCCTCCTCTTCCCAACGCACATACACACACATTTGTAAATCTAATGTTTCCCTGATTTTCAGTTGGTGTACAGCTTGTCAGCTAAGACGGTTTGAGGACATTCCCCTTAATAATTGGAAAACACGAAAATATTTTGCATTTTTCGAATTTTAAATAGCTGCGAACGAGGGAGCATCGCTATCACGGAGGCTGTGACTGAGTCGTTCGGCTGCAATAGTGAGAAATGCTCAGCAGAGCTACAAGTGTTGGTCTAAGGTCCACACGCAAACACAACGATGTAAAAACTTGCAGGCCATGGCGAGGCGAAGAGAAAATGGCAGCGTTATTTTAGAGTGTTCTTCGTCTTTTCAAAACCACTGACAGCCTGTTATGAGGCGGGATTGCTCCGGGTTTATTGTCGGTTTGTTTTGTGCGCGAGATTAGTGATTTCCAGCGCTGTCGGGATCAAATTGACATATTAAGCTACAGTGTAACAGCCATTTTGGTGTATAGACCGTCATTCTTCTCAGGCAACATTCCCTTTAAGCTGAGTAAATTTGATGCGAATCGAAAATTGGTCTTAAACATAATCTCCTGCTCCCTTGGGATTCCCAGCTTCACCACAAACGGCCTTACTGCCCGGACTCAAAGAGGTATTAATTCAAAGTGCCCGGTGACAGTAAACATTGAGCAGAGAGAACGCTCCTGTCACTTTAATCGACTTGGACATAGCTTTATGCGAAGGAACAAAACCACCAATTTCTTTAAATATTTCATACAAACATGCTCTTATCCGCGGTTGTCAAGGCTTTACCTTGGCTTAAATAATTACACTTGATTTCTAACAACTAATTTCTCAACACTGCACTTCACTGGTTACAAGTTAGAAGCGAATTTGTGCAGAAAATAGTTGCAAGTGTTTTTAAATGGTGCATGTAAAAGATGTGAATTTGAAACACACACATTCCTTCGCTCTCCTACGTGAAAGCAATGCTCTCTGAGCACGAGTGTTAACAGCAGCCTTCAGAATGAAACTGTATCCGAGGTGCGTAGGGTATCGAGAAAGCAAACCAATCACAGCGGCCTAATGTAGGCACTCCAGACAACTGCCTCAGAGTCTCTCTCTTTGGTTACTCATCTTCTTCAGTGAGTCAGAAGGAAATTGTTTATCTTCTGTCGTTTCTCTAATACCTTACGTGCCCGTTGCACAAAGGTGCGACGATGCATTAAAAAAGGATGATCGAACATGATGACAGCCCGTGCCAGCGCTTTTCAGAATGGCTGGCACTTTATCAGGCTGGCAACCAGAGTTTCAGTTGAAAAACTCTCGCGGTTCTTGGCACTTTGACCATTTCAAGAGGCGGGTTCACCCGGGTTTAAATATGAATTCATGCTTACAGATCCATTCAAATATAAACAATTTACCTTGACACAACACAAGGAAATAACCTCATCCGGAATTATTGATCGGACTTTGGAATATGTATGCACAACATTATGATGGATTATTGGCGTTGTAGGCACTATTAATAACAGTGGCAGCGAGCTTTTAAATATCAGCAGGGAAGCGGGGGTGGGGCGGGGGGGAGGTTGAGAGGGGGATTTGTAGCGCAGGTCCGTGTACGATTTCAAGCTGAGTTGGTGGGAAACACACCTTGTTATATCGGACCTCATTATAGTGACAATTCTAGGTCTCAGAGAACTCCCATGCAGAATGTTCCACGAAATGACTTAGTTTCTTTCTTAAATCGGATTTACAGGGGCATAATTAAAACGGGGGTGTAGGGAGGATATTGCCAGAATTTACTTTTGAGGGGATACACTATTTGAGAAAAAAAAGACCACGATAGTCAGCCCATGTTCTCGCTATCTTAAACTGGTTACGTTTGAAGTATGGGGAGATAATTCTTATCCTTATGTGACTCCAGATTGTGTGTGGTACGTGGCAAAAAGGGATAGACGAGATGAATTTGTGCGCGTGCTGTATGTATCAAACTGCTGTTGCTGTGGCGTACTTTGTCCCGGTTTCCCTGGGGTTTTGAAACATTTTTTTCGAGGGAGTTGCTGATGAGCAGATCCGCTCCCCTTTCTCTCTGAAACCCTATAGATTAGTCATCACCTTACGAAGAGCGCCATATGCTTCGTTTGATCAAACACCGCGTCAGATATGCACAAACATAATTGACAAGACTCTCCTGAAAGCACGCTGAAAAGTAGCCCATTGGGGATGGTAAATCACCACGGAGTGGGAGGGGGGGTAGGGAGGGAGATTCGCGAACATTTTTGGTTTTGAAATGTAGAATATTGAGGATATAAATAAACCAAATGATTAGACAACGCTTTGTGGTTACAGCCGAAAGAAATGTGTGCAAACAAGAAAGCAATCAACGTCAATAGACCACTGGTCAACACTTTAGGACATAACATGCACAAAACGGCAACCCAAAATTTTAATTGAGTTAAGCTCTCAATGTCAACACTTTCAAATCTCACGATTTACTGGATTATCCCAAATGTGAACTGCAAAGCAGACGCTCAGAAAAGTCAACAGTAACGATGTGGAGACACGTCGTCTGAGCCACAACATGAGTACATGAATCATACGGCGCAGGAAACTTTTAAATACAAGTCAGTGTGGCGTTAGCTTCACATTTCACTTGATTCACTTCTGGCCAAGAAGAGTATCTTGTGAATGGACCTTCACTACAGCAAGAACTTAAGTCTTGTCGTTGTATACCCCCGTCAGAAACATCGCTTTCTTCCACTAAATATGTTGTTACACATAATGCTAATGTTTTTCTTTCAAGTGTGCTGAATCAGTCATTCCCTTGTCGCTGAGTTTAAACCATGCAGCCAATATTTCTCATACGTTGTCAGAGAATTGAATTTTTCTGCCGAGTACCGGGTAAACTGTTGCTTTGTTTTTTTTTTAATAGCAACACGTTCGCATTCCTTATTTTGTACTGATCGGACTTCAACTACCATCTGGTCATAAACTTTTATAAAACAAATAGATACTTTCAATGAGGCACCTACACGCGATTTGCAAAACTTTCCTCTAAACTCGTTAACAAAAGAAAAATAAGTCCGACATATTGGGACCGTGAAAAGTAAATATACATGAGTAATTCCCATTAAAAATCGAATGATTATAATATTCACTTGTTATAAGTCTGTGAATCTGATTAATACTATATTTGGTCTCTATTAAATACATGGAACATTTAAAATAGAAAGGTATGATTGCAAATAAAACTAAATATGACCACAAAGGAAATTGATGTATTTGCCAGACTAAATGTATCTATGATTTTCCTCAGTGCTGCACTGCTATATGATAGTAAAGATTTGATACTTATATTCGATCACATGAAAAAAATACCACTCATAATTTCAGAACTTTGAAGGCCGGTTATTGCCCAAATAACACTTCTGCACATGGTATGCATTGCACCCACGGTGCTTAGTATTAAAGTTGCAGTCGGTGGCAGTTTCTCTCACAACTGCGTGTGTTCTGTGCAGATTTAACTGTGACCATCATTCCTCCATACTACCGTGTGTTAATCGGGCCGACAACAATTTTGAGAAATTGAATAGTGTTACCTACCTTCAGGGAAAACCACTCTCATTTTTAAATAGCTCGTTGTCAGTCTTATGATGGAGGCTTTGTCGAGCTGGGAGGTTATTGCAGATGGCAGCGGTAGTAATTTGGCCAGTTCGTAAAACTCGCTGTTTTCCTTCTCCCGTCTAGTCCGGGCAGCATTTTTAGACTTTTCCTTCATTTCGTTTTCTGTTCCCTCTTCTTACAGCGTGGCTGCCATAGGTTCATTCCCCCAAGAAAAGAAACGGTTGTGGTTTTAACACCACGTGTGAAAACCAGCATATATGTCAAAATTAACTGTTTTTGAAGGGGTGGGGAGTAACTCCCCCGTTTTCAACAGAACTAAATATGGCAATATTAAGTAGGAAAACGTAAACGTCGATATATTCACGAGAAGCCAAAAATTCTATTAAAATCAATGCCAAGAGGAAGCCGTGGTTTCTTTTCTGCGTGTAAGTGTGAGATTTTGACAGCACTCCAAGGCAGATCAGAACTCTCGCAGGCGGCTTGGCATTACTGTGCCTGTGGATGCACCGTGCCAAGGGCTCTCTGCTGTGATTTTGTACCTGGAGGGGAACTGTTTTCGTAGGGAGCGAGCCATAATCCAACCAAGTCTCAGTCCCAAAGTTCCCTTTCTCACGGCAGATGCAATCGCCAGTGCTTCAAGCTTTCATACCAGCAAATGGCATGTGTCTAGAGGAAGGCAGAAAGAGACAAGCATTAGAAGGGGAATAAAAACCAAGCCCTATGTTTCAATTCAGAACGACAGGAGAAAACGAAATGTTCACTGTGCTGTACCGTGTGCTGAAACTGCAACAGATGTTAATGACAGCATTACTATTGGATTGGCAACTCACTTACAAGTATCGAATGGACGAAATGTTAATACTAACTAGCATCAGATGCCTTGTGGTGCTGTTGGCTGGTTTGATTTCATTATGGGGATCTCCAAATTAGCCGTAATTTTACTTGTAGTACTCTTCTGTATATTTTGCATTAAATGGAATGTTATTTACTATTTACTTGAGTTTCTTTCCCCACAAATCACTTATTATGACAGTATTATTTTGGCCTTATGTTGCTCACCTTAGGTGACTTATTAAAAGCCAAGTTACATTTTATATGGGATGGAGGTGGTGGAAATTTGGTGCAATCTTCAGGAAATACTCGGAAATTAGCCAAGGGGTAACGAACTGTCCTCAGTTGGTCGAGTTTTAGGTCGTTCTCTCCCAGCTCCCACCCTCCCTCCCCGCTTCTTCCTCCTCCTCCTCCTCTGTGTGTGTGGCGGGCCGCCGCCGCCCCTACAGGTACTGACACGACCGCTGCCCGCCGGGTGTGAGGTGCAGATTCCTCCCGGCGCTGAACTTTGGCTGCCTGGCGAGCAGTGTATGCAGCTCGCCTCGCCACCGCCGCCGCCGCTTCAGTCTTTTCCCAGCCCGGCCCCACTGGCGCTTCCCGCCGCCGCTCCCGCCCAACCTGTCAATCAGCCGCCCTCAGCCCGGCTCCGATTGGCTGGTCCGCCCGCGGACGGGTCACGCGCCCCGTCGCTGCCGCCTGCGCGAGGCGAGGAGGTGAGGGGGAGAGGATGACCTCTGACCTCTTTCCCCCTCCCTCCCCTGCCAAGCTTGTAGAGGCAGGCAGTGGGGAAGGAACCCGATTGCTGTTGTTCGGGTGCAGCCAAGATTGGCAAACGCTTAAAACGAGTTGGAACAGTGCAGGATGACAGAGAAATGCAGAGTTCACGTTGCATGCACGCATAATATGGCAAAGTACTTTAAATGTGATCATCAGCATACAAACATTTGGAGTTCATTGAATATCGGCATTGTCGAAGACAGGAAATATTAAACATATTTAATAATCGCAATGCATAGAGGGAGGTAATCACATGTCTTTATTTCAAAGAGGTTGTGCCGCAAAATCATAAAGTGCATACACAGCAATAGAAAAGTAATAAATATTACAACTTTTAAAATTGGAGTTGTACTGTGACCTCAGAACTAAACTTACCTCTTCATGAAGCAATAAATGGTGAAATATAGAAAGCAAATCGTGCTATGAAGAAGCTGAACATCATTGCACTGTGCTCTACATTTACTGAAGACTATAAATGAGCCACGAACTTCGGTTAACGTAGAGCAGGGTGACACAGTTAAATAAAACTTGTTGCCGATGTCTTTATGCTGTGCTGCTATAAAATGTATTATATTGAGTCTCCTACTTTGTATACGTGTAAGTGTATGATTGTTAAACATCCTCAAGTCAAGGTGTTACATAAAAAAACACAATTAGAAATTGTCACAATTGTAATCTGGGTACGAGTTATAACATTTACAGTAGCATGGCAAAGGACCTCTCACATAATTAAGTTAGTAAAATAATTAGCTCATCATTCTAACTAATTTGATAACTATTTATAGTGCATTCTGTCAGAAAATGATACAAAGATGTACATAGTCAAAGTATAGATGTTCATTGCGTTCAATGTAATAAACTCGCAAAACTCTGAACTTTAAACTATTCAAACCAGACAGGGAATAATGCAGCCCAGCATCAGTTATTAGTCAATTAGAGTGCAAGAGAGAAGGTGCTTCAAGTTTCGTTGCACATGTTTTTAAACATGGGTTCAATGCTTGAGTGAATGTGAAATTAAGCTCCACAAACAGATGCAAAGAAGACGTTTTGTGCCCGAGAGTCTTTGCACACATAGAGCTGTTAATCCTTTTCTCTGTATTTCACATTCGCCTATGCCTTAATTTCATGGATTTTCTTTTTATTGGAAAGCTAGAAACAGGCAAATGTTACTGGCACAATGTAGCTTAAAGGTGATACTAAATATGTCCTTAATGTGACCTCATCCAGTGAATATTAATTACGCCTTAGCGGTTTTTAATACGCTTCACAATTAGACAATGAAGCGTGTAATAATGTAATGTGTAAAATAACTACTTTTAAAGATGAATCTATACAGCAGCCGCAGCAACAACGTTCAATATCCCTGTACTTTCTACAACTGATTTTAGTTTGAATTGGCATCCATATTTAATTGAAATACAATGTTCTTCCCACGAACTCTTAATGATTGTAACAAGCGAGTAATTGAATTTGCTTTTAAACCCTTTATAAAGCTATTTTCTTAACTCCTTTTAATAGCATATTATGTTCGTCGTAGAACTAATCGTTAATTATGGTATTAGTGGGATCTCTTGCCGAGTTAATTATGACGTTTGTCCTCTCGTTATTGTTCAAAGCGGCAAGATTTGCAGAAGTCTATAGGTGCGAGGCTGGAAAAGCACAGCAGGTCAGACCCTCACAACTATAGACTCTGGCTTCCAGCATCCGCAGTCCTTATCGTCTCCAAGATTTACAGAAGTATCTGCATGCACAAAACATTGCATATTCCCCACAACGAAGTGGCATCCTTACCCTGGTTAACATTGATATTAACTTGCAGTATGAAATTGACTACGTGAGAGACACGCGTTCCAGAGACGGTAACAATTATATAACATTATTAATTGTACTGACACACACAGAAACGTACTTAGAAGCCAATGTTAGTTGAAATTACTGTGATCTTGCTTGCAAATACATTAGTGTAATAGCGAAACTTGCCTGTTGATTTGTTTTTGAATGAGTAAGTAAGCCTTCCAGGTTTATTTGTAAACTTTGCTACTCTTTAATCCCCCTATTTAGATCCTTTTTAGAAGATCCATCGCGCAAGCGCCCGTCGTAGTTTTATTTCCCTTGTTCAATGCATACTTTAATGAATTAACTCCCAATTGAAGAACTCCGAATCTGTATCAATGACTCTATTACTAATAATCACCAAAGGCAGTTGAGAAAGAATGTGTGAATAGGCAGGCGTACTATAATAGCGGATGTGATATTCTCATAACTCACTCTATTAAAATGGCACACGCCCCGACAAGAAAGAACCTGTAACTTTGTGAATCACTGCCGCAATATTATTTCACAGACACGAGCAGATCATTATTACAAGTGGTGACGGCGAAGGGTTGGGAATTGAATCTTTTCGCTCGCTTTTCAACACCAAAATGTCTGTTGAGAGCGAACTGTGAAATAAAAAAAATGCAAGTGACATAAGTTCTGTAGTTTTCCACAATGCTTTTGTACTTAGCACCGAGTAGAGCGTTAAGGTTAATGGCAGAGGAAGGTTTCTGTTAAACATTGGATTTCGGGAGGGGGAGCAATGATGTAGCCGGGAGCAGTTTACATATATTATCCATCGGTCTGCATTGGCATTTGTCGTAAAATGCAAAATAAACTATATGAACACCACTTGCTTTCCTAAATCTTTGATTTCTTCCTTTTAAAAACGATTTAATGGATGAAATTGGCCGGACGATCGAATGGGTGTGAAATGGGATTCCCATAGATTCGGCCAAGCAGTCGATCTAATGTTTTCCGCCTGGTCTTTCAAATATTTCATGCGCGACCCTTAAAGCGGTGACTGCCGAGAGTTTCGCCATTCTTTGCTGACGGAATTCTCCAGCCGGCGCTTTAGTAATGCACCTCCCACTTACAAGAGTAGCTGCGGGCTGCTGTAAAGAAAATGTTTTATAAGCGGTGAGGACATTCAAAACAAAATGTCAATTTTGCTCATAAATGTCAAGCGCCCTGTGAATCCAATTCATCCCGCAGGCAGTCAAGCGTTGCAGCTGAGCGGCCAGGGAGGCAAAAGACATTTAGTCACCACCCAGGGATTACAAGGTTACAATGAGCTGCTAATTTGTGGGAGGATTTCTTAAAACAAGCTAATGCCTTATGCAGAAACCAACAAGTTTCTCGTCCAAGTGAACTATTATCTTGTATGAATTAAGCAGAAACCTGCTGAAGTGTAATGGGGAGGGTGCGGAGCTAACATAGGGCTGGTCATGAGGGATAACGATCAGTGTGACTGGGCCCAGGCATTCACTTTACACTTAGTAACCGGGAGGCCTCGACTAGCTGCGCTGCCATTGCACACCAACTCCCACTGGAAGACTTGCTTCCCAGCCTTCCGTAACATGCCGATTCGGGGTGCCCAAAATATTCCGTGCCATGAAATGGTGCCACTTACTTAAAATGGGCAAACTGAGTTTTTGTCATTAGTTTCAACATGTCAGGATGATGTTGATACGGTGCTCTGTTCTTGCTGGAGCTTGTCATGCTTTAGTTTAATTTCTGCAGCCTCATCCAAATACTAGACATGTCTATTAATTACAGTCACAATTGCGAGACTAAAATGCATCCGACTCGGAATACAGCAAACGAGGACTGTTCTATAAATGTTGACCCTGCCTTTTCACTTTCTGACTCTAAGGATGATTCCAAAGAGTTCGAGTTAAACACTTGCTAAAACGTTTATCGTTACCATCTTTTGTAGGAGGAGCAAATTGTTACAGGGCGTGGAATTGAAACAGATCCGTTCAGTTGAAGAGTAAATTTCATACTGCTGTACTCACATAGGCAGTCCAATGCATCAGTCTCCAGTGCACCATCACAGGCTCAAACTCTTCAATGCGTGTAAAAGTTGTCTTCGTTAATCAGAACATGAGCAAACCGAGGAACAATTTAACGCTACAATAACAATTGTGTAAGATTAGTTTTATCTCTGTAATATTCACCATGTAGCATCATGATTACATTGAATTTTACAGTTTAGATTGCACAGCAGGATAAGCCAGGATTAATGCATTTTAAGCACATTTTAAAAAAAAAGTCCACTCTCAATTCCTTTTACTTGGGAGAAGACATTCTTGCTCGCATTACAAGCTAAGTGCGGTTTGGACGGAGAGTTCGCTGATGGAGATTTTCCATATGAAATACAAACTCGCCTTTGTACAGAACGTGTTTTGCATTTCTAGGCGCAGAGTGCTCTCACACAGATCCCGCAGAATTGTTTGACCCAAGTGATTTGGATTTAGTTGGTAGAATTTCTTGCACAAAGTCTTACAATCCAATTTAACCTTGGACAATAATTAACCGTTAGTCTGAAGCTTTAACGCAGCAAAATATGCTTGCAGTAAATCATTATTTATTTGACTGACAGATTAACTGCAGTACAAACACTGCTGCGAATCCTATCGGTGTATTAATTAAGCGCAATAGTTATGAAGCACTTTCTGATTCTTTTTTCAGTTGGTTATCATTTTTCGATAAATGTATTATTAATATATATCAATTTTAACGTTTAAGCATGTCCTACGCATCGATATCCATGCTAAGCGGCCTTCCTTTTTTATGTCAAACTATCCTTTTTACTGAAACAAAAACAGAAATTACCGAAGAAACTCAGAGCTGAAAAAGGGGCAGTGGACTCGGAATGTTGAGATTGCTTTCTCTCCATAGATGCTGCCAGCCCTGCTGAGTTTCTCTGGAGATTTCTAGCATCCGTAGTTCTTTATTTTAACTTTACTGCATTTTTTTGTCAATCGATACGTATACACGTTCTATATCAATAAGAAAAAAAGAGATGCCTAAAGATTCAATGGGTAAATGTCTCGTTTGCTGCTTTTATCACTCACATTTCCGATTCCAACTCCGGTCTGTGCTACGTTAACTGGAATTACTCTGGATGTCACCATTGGATCACTGTCTCTGGACAAGGTTACTGAGCGCGGCACCGCCACTGGCCCCAGTCGGTGTACACCAGCTGAAGTGGCATAGAGCCAGATACAGTGGGAAGGGCACATGTTGGATTTGTCCTGATGTCAGCCGCGCAGTTGTCAAGGCATTGACACCATGGACAAAAGAAACAATTGTCAGCTTGGTACCAACTCCTGACTGCTACCCAATGAGCTCATTAAGAAGTGTTTTCTAAGTCAGTGTTACGGACAACACCGGGGTGACGATGGCCAACAACGATCGCTGTTCAGGTTCACGGGCGGCCCAACGCCTGCAATATCATTGGCCATTGTCCATAAGGGAGCAGAGGCCTCTCCCTACAGTAGAAAGTAAGAGAGAGAAATGCTTATCTATAACAATAGAAGGAGGCAGTTCTGCATGAACTAGTTGGGAAAGTTACCAGATAGTGGGACTGTCGTGGCCCAGAGGCTTGTGGCACACGCAGCCAGAATCTCCACCATATAGCTATTCTGTACATTATCAGTCCAGGTATCAACGAACTCTGATAAAGAGTCATCTAGACTTGAAACGTTTGCTTGCTCTCTCTCCATGGATGCCGCCTGACCTGCTGTGATTTCCGGCATTTTTTGTTTTCAGTACAGATTCCCGCATCTGCAGTAATTTGCTGTTATCAACGAACCGTGTCATTAAATGTACAGCAAAACCGAAAGCTGTATAAATGTTTCATAGGCGTTCAAAGAGAAGCGCCTTAGGATAAAGGGATGTGTAGGTGTGTTCATGTGTGAACAGAACAAGGCTTTATTCGAGGTCCGCTTGCTTGTTCACGCTCAGAGTCTGTCTGGTCCAGGAAGATTAAGTATTAATGGAAAAAAAAAACCCGCTTCTGGAACCCTTCCACTGAGTAAGGAAACACGGGGAAGTGGAGGACGAAAAAATACAAATAACGGATTGGATCATTCAAAATTAATTCAGTTACGTTTTCCATATAAACTGTTGAGCAATCAACAGTCAAACTTTGTATTAATCTCCAGATGTTCAAAAGATTACATTTGTACGCAGCGGCAACACTTTTAATTGTATGTTAAAAAATAAATTAATAATTGAAGTAGCTGATCTAAACTTGCAATAATGCAATGACTCCCCGCCACACGGGTGAAGTGACACCGCCAGGGAACAGGACAGAATTGCAGAGCGGTGTTGTAAATGTGGAGATAGGACTATATGATCACAATATAGAAAACGAAGAGTGGCTTCTGCCTTTTGGTGCTGGCCTAAGAAGCTCTGGCCTCCGTCTCAGCTTCCTCTGAAGACTGAGTTGGTCAGCCATCACCACCCAGAAGCAACGCTACTCAGTCCCGAATTTGTTCGATAAACTGCGGCTAGTATTCCTCTTCACACTTATCGCTAGCTATCAGCAGGAAGCATATGGACAGGTGGATGCCACAACTATTGACTTCAGTAGGGGCTATCTTTTCAGACCTTTGCATTTTATGCCTTCTGCTGTAATCAGTTGACATTTCCCAAATCTTTTCAAGGATGTTAACTCTGTTTCTTTGCAAGCGCTTTTCATTCAAACGCGGCATTTCATTCCAACGACACTGAAGTGACAAATGCAATGGGAACATTGCAGCGGGATGTTCCCTTGGAACTGTGCCCCTCCTCCTTTCTTCAGGCTATTTCTTATAAATACTTCCTAATCAACCTATTCAGAAATGCTTTTACACACCTCTAGAGCAGGTGGGACTTGAACCCAGGCCACCTGACTCAAAGGTAGGGATATTACCACTGCGCCACAAGAGCTACGTGTTAAATTGAATAATTAGACCATGAATATTGTCCTCAGCTGAGCATTGAACCAAATCTCGTGGAATCGTAGAGTGATGCAGCCCATAAGCCGCTCCTTCGGCCCATCGTGAGAGTCTTTTCGCTAGAGACAGCTCCCTAATGAAACCCAGTGCCCTGCTCTTTTCCCGTACCTCTGTTTAAAAAAAAACTTCAAATATTTTGCCCGAAGGAGCAGTTGTCCTAAAACATGAAACATTAAATCTGCTTAGGCCAGGGGCGAAAGAGAGGCAGCGAGCATTGTTTTCAAGATGCGATATAAATTCGACTGCCCCTCCTGTTATTGGCATTGGACATCTTTTTAAATATCACGGGGGTGGGGCGGGGGGTAGTCACGGGTTTATGGAAGAGTAAAACAATTCATCCCCGATCAGTAGATCCGACCCATATTTCTTATTCCTGCGCTCAGACCCTAGCTGAAGCCTGGCAGAGACAGGGTGGCGGGGATCCGGCTCCGTGAGGATATTAACAAGAGGCCTAAGTACTATACCTTGGTACTCGACTGAAGGCTCGACATGCATAAGCACCAGATCGTTTCAATCTTTCAGTCAGGCAATCCATCTGCAACTCTATGGTAAATATTTGATGTAGGCAATTTTTCTCTCAACAAACGTAATCAATTCTCATTGATGACAAGTGCATTCTTCTACACACTTTCAGTTTGTTACAGAATGCTAAAGTGGGGGAACCTGAAATGGATCTGAATAGGAATGTCAGCACTGACGGCCCGGAGTTTGAAATCTTCCTCTGGGGAAATTCGAATCTGTTCAAATCAGAGGCGAAACATTTCAGAGAATCGTCTTTTATTTTGTCCACTGGAGTTTTCATTGTCAAATTGGAAATTGCTGCTCACTGGTCTATTTTGGCTCTGAATAGGTTGGAATGTCTTTAAGTCGGAAGGTGCTGGCAATGGATATTACAGGGATTTCCGAACGAAATGAGCAACATTTTGTTTTTGCAGTTCACTCTGGGCTCGGCTGCGGTGTGAGATGTAACCTGTTGCGCTGTATGTGTCCTGTATGTGGGAGGTCATTGCCATCCTGATGTGCGTTCTGCCCAGCGCTGAGGGTTCGAGTCTGCAATTACCGTGATCACCCCACCCCCCACACCCCAAATTACTGTTAATTATGTTGCTCTGATCTTTTAAACGTTGGTAACATCGCTGATGATGCGGGAATCCAAACTAGACTTTTAAAACAAAATTCACCTTGAAAGGAAGGGCCCGCCTGTGGATGAACTTTTTCAAGATGGTGCCGGCACGCTCCAGGCCGACGGCATTGTTTTCTCTGCGTCTCTTATTCTTCTTTTCATAGAATCCCTACAGCAGGCCATTCGGCCCACTGAGTCCACACCGACTCTCTGAAGAGCATCCCACCCAGATCCACCCAATCTCTGTAAGCCCTGCATTCCCCATGGCCAACCCACACAACCTGCACATCTTTGGACTGTGGGAGGGAACCGGAGCACCGGGAGGAAACCCGCGCAGACATGGGGAGAATGTGCAGACCTCTTCACTTTTCTCCTTCCTTTCTTCTTCATCTTCGGGGCCAGAGCGGTGGCTGCAGTTTCGGCGGCGTGGAGCGAGTCTCCTGGCGGCGGTGGCAGTGCCCATAGCCTGGATCATTGGCACTGTCTGCGAGGCTGTGGTGGCAGCAGACCCGGGGTCTTCGTTAAAAACCGAAAGAACTGCAGATGCTGTAAGCCAGGACTAAAAAAAAAAGGTCGCTGGAAAAGCTCAGCAGGTCTGGCAGCATTTGTGAAGAAAAAAAAATCAAAGTTAAAGTTTCGGTTCCGGTGACCCTTCCCCAGAGCCAGATCCAGACCCGAAACGTTAACTCTAGTTTCTTTTTTTTTCTTCACAGATGCTGCCAGACCTGCTGAGCTTTTCCAGCAACTTCTGTTTTTGCTCCGGGGTCTTCGTTGCTGTTCCTAGAGCGGGATTCCTTGAGGTCCAAAACACTTTGCAGAAGCCCTGAAGCCGTGCTTGAGACCCCCAATTTGAACAGAAGATGAACTCTTACTTAAGTCATTTCTTTTTACCCTTATTGTACCTCAAAATGCACCAGATTGTGACAACAAAATACTTTTCACTGTATCTTCAAGATATATATGACAATAAATAAATCATTCAGTCATTCATTCCAGTCAGTACAAAAGGTAACCCAAAGCATTATTCTGCCTAGTACTCCAATTTAGAACCATGAGTGTTGGGGGGCAATTTCATTTAGACTGATTTGATTAATATTTAAAATAAGATACCTACATTTTCTCCGGGATATTGTCTTCCACAATCTTTGCTAACTTATTTAAAATATAACATTTCTGACGATAAATTATATTTTCAGTATTTATTCCAACCCAAAATAAATACCCTTTAATTTAGCTTTGTGGCTTAACCAGGAACTAAAATGCTCAATTTATTGTTTCTGGTAGTTAGGTTGAAATGTAAGATTAGTGAGGAAACTTACAAGTCATAGAGTAAAAGAGACCTAACAACATGGAGACAAAATTGGTGAAATGACAGGAAATGGAAAGTAACGGTTAATTGGCACTTTTGGGTGAAGACAGGTTTATGATGAAGTTCCCCAGGGATTGGAATTGGGACTGTTGCTTTTTCTGATACATACATAAATTACCACAAGACAATTGGAAGGTCTGTGGATGGCAGAAAACTTGGATAAATTGCAAACATTAAGGTCAAAATGAAATTATCAAATTATTGAACTGGGTGAAGAGGTGGCAGCTGAAGTTTGATGCAGAAAAGTCTGAAGAGATACTGTTTAGTACAAAGAATATGGAGAGATAATATAAAATAAAGGGCACTGTTCAACAAGGTCTGCAGAAGCAGAACGATCTTGGAAGGACAAACTTGAAAGCAGAATACAGGGTTAAGGGAAAGATTTTTGGCAGTGGAGGTGCAGAGGGATCTTGGGGTTCATGTCCACAGTTCCCTGAAAGCTGCCACCCAGGTGGATAGAGTTGTTAAGAAGGCGTATGGTGTGTTAGCTTTCATTAATAGAGGGATTGAGTTCAAGAGCCGTGAAATTATGCTCCAGCTATACAAAAGCCTGGTTTGGCCGCATCTGGAGTATTGTGTCCAGTTCTGGTCGCCTCATTACAGGAAAGATGTGGAAGGGTTGGAAAAGGTGCAGAGGAGATTTACCAGGATGTTGCCTGGAATGGAGGGAAGGTCTTACGAGGAAAGGTTGAGAGAGCTAGGGCTTTTCTCTTTAGAACGACGAAGGATGAGAGGTGACTTGATGGAAGTATACAAAATGATCAGAGGTATAGATAGGGTGGATAGCCAGAGACTTTTTCCTAGGATGGAGGTAGCTATTACGAGGGGACATAGTTTTAAAGTGAGTGGAGGTAGATAAAGGGGAGACGTCAGAGGTAGGTTCTTTACTCAGAGAGTGGTAGGGGCGTGGAATGCATTGCCGGAGAGGGTAGTGGATTCGGCCTCATTAGGGGCATTTACGCGGCTATTGGATAGGCATATGGATGATAGTATAAGGTAGGGGTGGAAGTTAGATAGACCTTAGTGTTAGGGTAAAAGTTCGGCACAACATCGTGGGCCGAAGGGCCTGTACTGTGCTGTACTGTTCTATGTTCTATGTTCTATGACCTGCGTTTTTTATCTACATTGTTATTAAAGATGGTAAGACCGGTACTGAGAGCTATTAATAAAACATATGGAATTCTAGGCTTCATTAATGGGGATATAGAGTACATGAACCGGGAGTTTATGATGAACTTATCTGAGACGTCAGTTAAACCTTAGTTAGACAATTATGTAGCGCTCTGAACACCAGCAAGAGAGTGCAGAAGACATTAGTGGGAACGGTTCCAAGGATGGAAACTTCAGTTAAGAGATAGGGGAACTTCAGTTAAAACGAAAGATTAGAAAAATTGAGACTATTTTCCTCGGATTGGAGGAGGCTGAGAAGAGATTTGACAGAGATTCTCAAAATCATGAGGGATTCGGATGGGGTTGACAGGGAGAAATTGTTACCAATGGTAAAAAGATCGAGAGCCGGAGGGCACACTGTTATGGAGTTATGGAAAAGAAGCAAATGCGAGATAGATGTAAAATACGGCCAGTGGTTCCAGCGTGGACTGTACTGCCCGGAAGTGTGGTGGAGTAGGTTCAATGAAGGCATCCAAGACACCATTGGCTGATTACTTAAACAGAAACAGCACGCCACGGTATGGGGAAAAGGCAAATGAATGGCACTAAGTCAAATGTTCAGCGAGCCGGTGCAGAAACGATGGGCAGAATGGTTCATTCTACTCCGTAATAATTCTGTGAAATAGTAATCACAAGTCAAAGCCATGAACTTGCCCCTATGAAGCAAACACCTTTTCAGCAACTCACCAATATCCTGATGTTTCCCAGGTGTTATTTGCAGGGACCCGATCACCTGCCAGATTTTTTTTAAAAGATGTAAATATGAATTGGTCAAAAAACTGCATAAAGTTTACACCTTTTGGCAACTATTTTGCTGCTATTTGACATAATAGAGCGAGGACGGAATTGGACCAGCAGAAGGGAAAGTGCCTGCAAGCACCATGTCCCCGTTCACATTGGAATACCGGTGGCAAGCGTGGATCCAATCGGTTTACAAGTTCCTTCCTTGTGATAATATTGTCTTGGTGCTCTGAAGTAGACGCCAAGCTGATTTTACTTCCCATAATCTGCGTGCAACCTCTCACCTTCTGCACCCCTCGCAAAAATGTGACGGTCAAACACTAGTAACAGTTGAATATTCTGCAAGTAAGCTGCGCCATGGAAATTCTAATTAAACGTATTGGGCTTGTTTAAATAATACCACGAACGGAACAAGATATGGTGCTTAGAACAGCTCCTGTGCAGAGCAAGGACGTTAGGGACAATTAAGACAGCGGAAAAAAAAGAACGACACCAGGACATGTACGCCTACAATGCGTGTTACCCGTTTGGCCATTATAGTTTGGAACATTCAAAGATGCATTTTAACACAAAGACATTGATAATATAAAACAAAAATAACGTCTCTTTGAGGTTTTACTGCAAGGATCCAAACCAAGCTTTTGCGTTTGTAAATGAAAATTACGATTTGCCTCAAGATTTTGAACAAGAATGTGACTTATATTGATTCACACAATGTAGTGATCAGCTGCGAGTTGGATGTTCAAATCCGTCGGCGCTTTTAAAGTGAAACGAAAGGATTATATCTGGGAATCCGCAACTCACGGGTCGGTGTGAAGCCTGCACATGTTGTCCACCAGCATTCACAGAGGAGAATGGAGATTCCTCACTCAACCAGAAAGCAGCAATTCAAACAAAGAATTTAGAGTAAGAACTGCCGATGCTGGAGTCAGAGATAACACAGTGTGGAGCTGGAGGAACACAGCAGGCCAGCCAGCCTCGGAGGAGCAGGAAAGTTGACGTTTCGGGTCGTGCCCCTTCTTCAGAAAAAGTGGCTACGGCCCACTCCCTCGGAATTCAGTTGTAAAGCTCTTACACAAGGTGAAGCAGCACTAAACATCGACACTGCCACGCTAATTATATCGTCCAAAATTCTAACTCTTTCTGAAAATGTGAAGTGTGTAATGACTGATTATAGAACTCCCCGCGCAAAATTTAGGAACATACAAAAGACGCTGGAGAAGGACGAAAGGAAGGCAACCGAAATTATATCTATTTATAGTGTATTTAGCTCTGAGGCATTCCGCCTGCAAATTTCCCTTATATTGGAGAAGCCTAGATTTCTTGGAAATATGATTGAAGGGTTTTATTTGACTGACTGGCGCACATCATTGAACTGGAACGGCGTTGATTACCTTTTCGAGTTCTCAATGGTTTTGGAATTTGTACGCTTGCTAATTCCTTGGAAAGATTTTTTTTCCTGATATGGATAGATTCCACTCAGATTATTGATTTACGTGGACGAGTTTAAAATATAATACGATATTTTTCTTTTAAAAAGTTGTTTATAAGTCAAGACGAGTCATTTTCTCGGGGAGAATCGGAGGCTTCCGAAGTAGATTCTCAAAGCATATGTCAGTGCAAGCACACTATACCCCTTGGAAAGAAACAGGATGGGTCACGAGTTATAGAAGATGGGTGGGATAATAATGTTTCTTTACCTGATTTATTGCAGTGACTTGGAGCTGACTTAATCAGGAAAATCAAAGGAGGGTTTCCATAGACCCCCCCCCCCCCCCCCCCCCTTCTTAATCACCTTGTGATTGATTTATATTTTTGTTCAGGTTTACTTCACAGATGGGAGATTAAACGCTTAGTGGTATGCAAAGGCGACAATCTTTAGATCCGAGAGGTTTGGTGGAACACGATTTCTCGGTCTGTCATTTTTGTCTGTAGATGTTTTCGTCATGATAATAACGCAACTGGCACCCCGTGAATTGAGAGTTTAGAAGCTCACGTTCTTTCCACTGTTTGTGCTTTCTACAAATTTCTGATCTGATTGCCCACCAGAGGTAAAATGTCTTGTATTCACTGTGCAAGAATTTCGTTTTGAATTCTAATCCTACGCAAGTGGGGTATAATTGAACGAACCTTCAAAAATAGAAAATAAAAATACATGTGGAGAAAAGACTGTACTCACTTTGGTCGGTCTGGAAAATTAATACCTTTCATTCACCTGTTTCTCAAATGCTAGTAAAAATCTGTCTCCTCTATTTTTTCATACTTTTCAGGCTGGTACTTTCCAGTTCAGCAGCTCCGAAGTTCCTCCCGTTTTCAATTCGAGTGGTAAATATGACAAGGGGGAGGAATTCATGAGTTAGTTTCCCTTTGCTTTCCTCTAGTCTGCATAAAGAAACGTGAGACAAAAAAAGTACACGAAAAACCCGATATTATTTCAAAAAAAGACCCTCCATCTTTAATCAGCCACCCTTCCCTTCCCTAAGGTTCTAGTTCAAAGTTAATATTTCCAGTCTAGTGACCCTTCTTTAGAACTCAACTTTTAACTCTGTTTTCTCTGCACAGATGATAACATATCTGTCTAGTTTCTCCGGCAATTTCTGTTTTTGTCCAAGGGACAATTTCTGTTGAAACCTGCTTAGCATATGGTTGCTGCTTTATTAGCATAATTATTTGTGAAACTACCATGCCTACCTAACATAAGCATTA